GTCAACACACAAACCTATTAACCAGCGGGAGGGGAAAAAAACCACACCACCCCACACCCGTTCGCCACTCCCGCCCGCCCCGCGTGCCGCCGCGGCGTGCCTCTGAGGGGGGCGCACCTCTCCCGCTGCAGACGGATCCTGACTGCTAATCGCGGCCCCCGCTTCACGCCGGCGGAAAATTTTCAGGTGAACTCGGCGAACAAGGTCACTGGCAAGGACAAAGCCGTCACGTTCCCTGGGCCTCCTTCTACCTGCCGCCGAGGTAGCGCTGCGACAAGGATCATTATCCGCGCAGGGCACGTGTGAACCGCCGCGGCTTCTCCTGGAGGTAAGCGGGAAGGAGATACGGAGGGCCCAGAGGATGACGCTCACGGGGGCAACTAATGACGGAATTCACGTGGATGAGAATGTCTGAGGTGCAGAGATGAGAGAAAAACAAAAGATTTATATTGTTACAATTAAAGCCGAATGCCAAATAAAGAGATACAAAGTAACACAACTCATTGATACATCGATAAATGTATTCTATTATAAAGAGCGAGCAGTGTGAGACCCGAATGTGGCCCCGCCATCAGCCTCTTGCAGTCCCTGTATAGCAGAGCTCTTCTTCTATCTGGCCTCCGTCCTCCCCTTCAGTCTTCTATCTGACCTCCATCCTCCCCTTCAGTCTTCTATCTGACCTCCGTCCTCCCCTTCAGTCTTCTATCTGGCCTCCCTCCTCCCCTTCAGTCTTCTATCTGGCCTCCCTCCTCCCCTTCAGTCTTCTATCTGACCTCCGTCCTTCCCTTTAGTGTTCTATCTGACCTCCGTCCTCCCCTTCAGTCTTCTATCTGACCTCCGTCCTTCCCTTCAGTCTTCTATCTGACCTCCGTCCTCCCCTTCAGTCTTCTATCTGACCTCCGTCCTTCCCTTCAGTCTTCTATCTGACCTCCGTCCTTTCTTTCAGTCTTCTATCTGACCTCCGTCCTTCCCTTCAGTCTTCTATCTGACCTCCGTCCTTCCCTTCAGTCTTCTATCTGACCTCCGTCCTCCCCTTCAGCCTCGCACAGTTTTCCCGGCTCCTCTTCCTCTGATGTCTCTGCACACTGGGAGCTCCTCACAATGTACATTAGAAGCTGCAGCAAGTCAGACAGAGCTCCGCCTCATTTCCTGGCTGGAGGATGTCCAGCATCATCTAGCACTTTCCTCCTGCCAGATTGGCATCCACGCATCAAGGCATTTTGATATTTACATAACTCCTCCCAAAATCCCGCCCACTGCTTACATCAGCCTGCATTGCACAGCGAAGAACAGAGACCCGTTTTTTTAATGATAAAAGGTGGGGATTTTATGTACAATGATCCCGCTGCTGTACATTGTCACCTGTCAGGGATTCGTCACTGCTGATAATGACCGGTCCCCTTGAGGATAAGTCCAGATACGGAGCTGAGGGGCCTGGATTGGGTGAATGGTGCCGAATGTCCTCACCCCGGGCAGATGTTTTCGTCTCGATTTAAAAAAAATCAAGGAAAAGGTCGGCGCGTTCTTCCAGAATTCCGGGTCGGAATCCTTCTCTTTTGTCATTTTCTGGTATAATTTAATACAATGGTTTTGAATCCCAAGGGGGGAGGGGCCGTGGATCTGGGGCCCCCTGATCACCGCGCAGCAATCAGAATGATTAGGAGGAACCATGTAGGGGGTGCAATCAGTGACCTGGACAGATGGAGGGG